AACTATATACGCTCCATGTATTCAACATCACCCACCGCTATCCGTATAGTATTTACATTTTTATTATCCCCGGATAATGCATTGTTGTCGTCTTTGCTACCCAGAAGTCCAATATCCGTGCTTTTTTGTAAACACGACCAAACACATTCGTTTCGAACGTTCTGAGTTCCGGTGGTAATAAATAATAATATTATTAACATCTTCCAACCAGGGGCGTATTTAGACTTACTTCTAGGGAGAGGGGCGATTCAAATTTTTTCTTTAATTCAGGCTCGAAATTTACAAGAAAATTTTTTGGTAATATTTAAATCAGGTGAATCCTTAATATTTGTGGTTTTTTTTTTTTAATCTAATGCCGAATCCACTTAGAATGGTCTTTTTTGTAGTTCTTTTTTAACACTTATCTGTGTTTTGAAAGTTTCGCTCGTGTTTTATCTGATCTTTCACTAAGTATGGAACAGGGCTTAAATCAAAATAATAAACATTGTTTACCGTTATTGACAATTAAAACATTATGAACAATTTACCGTTTTGCGTTATTTAAATTAGTGTAAAATTTGAATCATTTTCAAATGTAGTATTTAGCAATTAATACTATGTAAAATAATATTACATACATAATATTATATATATATACTCGTATATTACCTTTAACCAGTGGTGTATTGGTAAATATATTTGTAGGTATACGTACTAAAAAAATATGGATATTAATCCTAAAATAAATTTTCTTGCTTTGCTCGACAAAAGTTTTCTCTCGATAAATTCGAAAAAAATTAATTAATCCTTTGTAACTACATGTTTATAACTTCTATTAAGACTATAAAATATAAAACCACAAGATATACATTTTCAGTGCGTTATAAATCGCATGATGCAGATTTAAGAACAATGAGCTGAATGTTCACAATCCATACTATTTTATTCAATGTTATTCACTACAGTTAACAAAATACATTAAAAACAGCGTACACTGTAATCTTCAACAGCTAAATATTTCAATCAATTTCATGGTTCATAACAATTTTTTCCAATGAACTACTAAATTATTATTTGTTTTTTTGTTTTCGAGTTATTTTAGAAGCGTATACCCGTAAAATAATAATTTACATTAGGTATACGCCGAAAATCGAAAATCTGCTGATGTATATACGTCGTATACCCACGTAAACATACCAATACACCCTTGCCTTTAAATATTTTATTTATTTTACAAAATTATTTTTTTATGCAGTTATTAATATATCCTAGGCTAATGGTTTATAATATGACAGAATAGTTTAAAAATCTAAGAATAGTTCTGAAATTGTAATGGAATTATATTGTAACTACATAAATAAGTGATTGAAACTTCGTTCATATTTTGATAGCTATAGTTCAAAGTATTTATTATAATTATTTCTATTAATTATAATTTATAATGTAGATTCAACTTTTACCCAGAAAACTATTGCTAATTTTGTTAACCATGAATTATAAATTTTTTAATGTATTTAAGATACCAACTAAATTCCTTAAGTCTGATCCTAAAGAATAGGAGAATATGCCGGATTATCAATTAGGATTGGGTATGGGTTAGAATTATTAAAGTTGTCAATGACTTTGCTGAAAGAGGAGTGGCTCTAATTCAAATTTATAATTCAATTCTTACGAAAAATTTAAATCCAAAATAATTAATTATTTTTCAAGTCGTGGAAAGTCATAGAAAAAGATTCCTTGATGCTCGAATATCCACTGTCATATAAAACGTCGTAGTACCTCCGCTGGGAGGCCTCTCACTCAGTCTAATCTGTCGTATTTATTTTTATTTTATTTTATTTTTATTTAATTCATCAATTGTTCTTATTGTTCTATTTTATTGTAACAGATTGAATAAAAATCTTATAATAACAAAAAAAATATATATATATAAAACGAAATTAAACTGAAATAATTTTAAATCATTCAAATTACTAAATATTTTCACGTAATTTTAATATCTTTAAAATCAAATTGAGTTTATTATAAATAGCCAATATCAAATGAAATTACTAATAAATTACGCCACAAATAATAATGATTATTTTTATTTTATGACTATTAATATTTTTTTCGCGTTTATATTATGTATAAATATATGTTATATAAGCCAATAAACCAATAGTAAACCTGCCTATAATAAAATATAATTAAGTGTTTATGTAATAGCAGCCAAATTTAATTGAACATATTTAAACAATTCCGTACAGCAGATGTATTCAACATTTTTATCTCTAGGTTCCTTTGTATCTTTTCAATATTTTAACGGTTTCAAAATAATTGATGATAAAAAAAAAGTAATTTATTTATATAGCATGTGCATAAAAAAAAATGTCAAGTTAAATAATGGAAAAAAATTGAATTGAATTGAAATGAAAAATTTAAAAATTGAATTGAAAATTAAATATTTTATACCTCCACACTCGCTATCCATATATAAATATAATACACATATAAATTACATTATAATACAGTAATGTCCAGCTTTTTGTTCCTTGGCAGTCCGTTTTGGTTAAAAATTATCTTCAATCGGGCCACCAAGTATAAAAGTACGAATAATGTCAATATTTATAAAAAATTAATGATTTTACTTATTGATTCGATAACCATAACTTACGAATCAGTTTTTCTCCATACATTATAATGATAGATATATACGTTACACGTACGATTAATGCAGTCCGTCTAACACAACTTTTTTAAAACTTTATTTTTCGTTATGATGTCACACAAATGATTAACGATTGTATTTTAATTAATTAAAAACATTAATTCGTTCAAAAGTATATTCAATTTGTCTATTATATAACAATAATTTTAATAATATAATATATATATTATAATATAAAGATGGACAAATAACAGTTTTACCATAAAATTATTACGATCTAATATTTAACGGAGTATTTTATTTAGAACAAGCCGCGTGAATAACTAACTAAGAGATCATTTTCGTGCCGTGCTTATTTCATACGTAATTGTATTCATTTAAATAGGCATTAAGAACTAAAAAATAATAGTATAGAGCAGTGCCGACATTGCAATACGATATTTAAGTGAAAATCAATTTCAAAGGATAATGTTTGACCGAGTTCTATGGTTTCATCAGCTGGTGATATGAAGTCGTACTATACTCTTTTAGTCATTATCCATAACTTATCAAAAATAATAATGATATAAAAATATATTATAAGTAGCAAAGCGAGAAAATAATTTTTATTAACTAAGTGGTGAGTTGTTAAATTCTTCTGTTCGTGTGATTTGTTTAACGCTTAAAAAGAAAAACGTGAAAAATTAAAACGTACCCAGGTGGCCGTCGCATTCGAGGTAATCACAATGATTTAGATTTAATAGCCGGGACCGCGCAATTTCAAATTCTCCATGTAATAAACATAATTGGTTCGATCACATCAGAACCATATATAATACATTTTTTTTACGTTCGATCGATCTCATGCGATAATCGATCGAAAAATGATTTGTGTGCACGTTAGATGGCGGGCTAATTTTGGGCGTATGAAGACGAGTATACGAAAAAAATTCCATTAGATTTAGAATTGGATACTTTTTTTTTTTATTATGCACCTGCGACTTTTCGACGTTTAATCTCTGATAAACAAATCATTTTATGCAATATTATTGTGATTACAAAATGTTCAGATTTTCGAGTAGTAATATTGTACTCATAACCAATCTGTGAATAAATGCAATTTATAGAGCAACTTCGTTGTATAATTTATACCCAAAAAAAAAAAACATTTGTATTTACTTCTGTGCTATCTTTGCGTTCCTTACAAATCGTCTTGGCGCAGAAAAATAACGTCAACAGGGGTGTCTCGTTTGGATTATCACGTTATAAGCGTTAGTCTATTCGCCAGCGCTGTGTAACACGCATTCGCTATTTTCGCTTCATGGTTTTTTAAATGAAATTCCGAAACTTCCGACAAATATACGCGAGCGAATAACGAATTAATTTACTGTCTATTAACTGCGCACGAGGTATGATTATCCGATTAACTATTAATACATATAGAATTAATAAATTAACTTTCATTACAAGTAATTATCTGTCACATTTTCAAAATCAAAAGGCTCAAATTACTACTAATTTATAAAAAAATTTTCATTGGTTGTTCATACTCAAAAACCTTTTTTTATTAAGTCGTTAAATGCTTGTTTTAATTTTTCTGTTCTAGTTTCATTAAAAGTTTTAACGTTATCAAGCATTTCTAAAATACAACCAAATGGTTTTTATAATAACTTCGTTTTTTATATTTGTTTTTGAATATAATAAGAAATTGAAATAACATGTGTTTTGTACAGTTATGAAAGCTATCATATGAATGTTGTATATTTTACGAGAACTAACAATATTTTATACATGGGTTGTTTTAAAAATAAATGTCAATTTTTTTTTAAATTATATTATTATACATCATGCAAAACTAAGAAATCGTTAAACACCGATTATCGATTAGAGCGAAATAAAATCATACAATTTTGAATTTTAAGAATTTATAAATAAATAATAAAAACTATATAATATCATAATATTTAATTAGTAGATCACGCAATAAAAACAATTAAAAAAATAAAAATATTTTCTCATGATTAGATACATAGTTTAATATCTGATAAGATAATTTTGAAATCTTTGATAATAAAATAGTTTAATTAATTTAATAAATTACAGAATAAAAATCAGTATAAAAATATTTCAAGTTAGATCATTATAGTTTTTAGTACCTAGAGAAATATCTTTGTTAAAATCAATGTTAACAATGATATGACTTACCATATAAATGACGTATGTATATAAGATTTTTTTGATTTTATTGCTTTTAACTTAAGAATGAGTTTTTCTGTCCTGAAATATTGTTGTTAAGTTGTATAATATTTATTATGAACATTAATTTGTGCGGCTGTGCGACAAAATTAGAGTGATAACTCAATCCATCTAATAATATTAAGATTTAGACAAATAATATTATTAATATTTTTATTATTGTTATTCAATAAAAACGTAAGGAGATTGCAAGCCATTATTTTCTTTCTTTTTCTACCACACGCGCAATATAGGGATTTAGACGTTTTCTATTTCCAACATACCGATTGATCTATTGATGTGATAAGGATTTTGAAAACTGATTTAAATTCGTCGTAGTCTTTTTTAGATGGACTATCTCACATTTTTTAAATTTTGTACTTAACATACCCAAAAATTAATTTTTATGTTTTCAAATTGTTTAGTCCTATTTTGTAATTGCACGCGTGATAGAAAGAGAAGGAAAATCATGGATTAATACAATCCATAAACATATTTATAATTAGATAACAAAAAATTTTTGTATAGCATGAGTGTAATGCTGATGACATACGCTTGGTTCTTTGACTAACAAAATAATATCTCCAGAGGATATAATTCCATGACATTTTCCAAAGTTGAAAGCATAATAAAATTGTTCCTGTTGATCCAGAAGAACACAATCAGAGTCTGAAAAAGAAAATTCTAATAATATACATACAAATCATAAACGAGTTATTTTTAAATTTAGGTAAATTATATTATTTTAAATAGTCAATTATTTTTTTATTTAAAATATAAATAACTTTTTTTTTCTTTTAAGTCAATAGCTTTTAATATGTTTATGATTAGAACTGGTAATAAAAAAAAAATAAATAAAAAAAATAGAATAAAATTATATAACATTCTGATCTACATTTTTTATGTAATATTTATTTAATTAATGAACTGATTATTGTCATAATCATTAAGTAGAAATAAACTCACTTCTCGGTGTTTTTATTATGTTAAGAAAACGTATGAGTACCAAAATCATCTCTGTAATTTAAAAGTGTTTAATGGAATATCAAGGAAAAAAATCAATAACATAATTAGAGTCACGTGAGTATTTATTTATTAGTAATTTAAATTGATTGATGCCCAATACAAGTTAAATACATGCATATAATAATAATATACAATAGGTATAAATGCATGTAATGGAAACAATTATAATAATTTAGCTCATTGGTTTACTTGTTAATAAAAATATAATATAGCAAATTCATGTTGTTCATTTCTTTTCAGTTAGGAGACTTGATTAATTATATTTAATAAAAGCATTAAATCCATAATAAAAAAAAATTTTACATGATTTATAAAAATTAAATTAAAACCACACGGTAAAACTACTAAAGTTAATACAAGTTACAATACAGCATATATTATTGTGTTAATTGTTATCAGTACTTGTAGTTATAAACTTTTGGTCTCCTAAATACCGATGATGATAATAATAATAATTTAGATTAAACTAATGCTACTTATATATTATTAAATAAAAATATAATTTATCTACGCAGCTTAATCATTGTATCGTAATGTTAGTTTTAATAAAAGTTTTTTTTTAATTAAAAAAAAAAACAAAAAATGCTTATATTATTACTAGGACTCAGATTTCAATGCATTTGCATCTTCTGTTTGGAATTTTTTACACGATGCTTTCCAAGCTACAAATGTGTTTCAAGTACTTCATGTTGTAACTACATTTTTTTTTTTGTGGAATTTTTTGTATTTTTGGCAGATTTAATACTTTTTGGGGAATTTTTAATGTTTTTAATACATTTTTAATTTTTTAAGAAATTTTTAACCTATTTCTCGTATTATGACTAAAAAAATTAACTTCAATTAAATATAAACAAAGTAATAACATTAATTATTATTAACGGAGTCTATAAATGTTGTAGATACGATTTGTAAAATTTAATCTTTTACAAATATTTTTTTATATTTTACATATAATTTTGGACGCACCGTCGCTCCGCACGAATAAAATTATTTTATAAATCCGCAACTCAGCATGCATTGTAATTCTGCACACTCAAAAAAATTAACGTACCGTATAGCTCCGCATTCTAAAAATATTTTTAACACCGAAAGTCCGCATTGCATAAAACTATGTTTAAATTACTTTAAAAATGACCAATCCAAGGATTCACGAATTAAAAAAATGATCACTTACTTAAACAAAACATACATAAAAAACGATGCAACATTTCATGTTGAGATTCAAATAACTGTGAGTCTTTTCATACCAAATTTATTTACTTTAACACATCCAAATATTGCAGTTTTCATTAAAAACTTATTATCTATGCAGACGGATTCTTAGATACGAATAAATTCTGCTAATAATAATGAAAGTAGGATAGTTAGAACTAAACAAAAAACCAATATGGAATTTATAAATAAAAACATAGAATTATATAACGACGGCCAAATTGATAGATATAATTTAGTAAAAAGTTTGGTACCAATTAATAATATTTAGTTTTAATTTACATTATAATTGTATTATATTTAATTTTATATGAATGACGACGATGTTTGTTGTAAATTATCTTTATTATTATAAATTTTTTTAGTTTATTAGATTTTAGTGTTACAACAAATAAAAACATAGAATTATATAACGATGGCCAATTAATAGAATACTGATTGTTTTTTTTAAATTATGCACAAAAATGATTTGCGGAGTTAGGGTGTTAAAAAAAAAATTATGTGCGGAGTTAAGGTGTAAAAAAAAACCTTTTATGCGGAGTTTAGGTGATATATTACAAAATGGCCACGATGCATGCACAGTTACGATGCACCGATAATTTTATATACAATTTTATAATTTCACATGTTAAAAAAACATATTTTTTTCTGGATTTTTAAAATCATTAATACAGAAATAAAACGACTTAATGTAAATTGATGTTTAAATTAATTTTTTGAAAGGTAATTTTTTTAATATTTTTAGGGCATTTAAATCCGAACCCTAATTATTACTATTGGCTATATGTGAGATTGAAAATGTTATTGATGTATTATAAGGTATACTCTATAAAATAAATATGTATATATATATATATATATATATATATACTATCATTACATAAAAAATCATGATTAAAATTGAATTTTTTTCTTTTATTTCTATTTGTAAGTCGGTTAATGTAACACGATAACTTACTGAATGTTACCTTAATGAAATGTATACTTACCTACTCGAAACAATTAAACTACGTTAAAAATTATTCTAACAAGGCTTGACTACATCGTTAAAAAGATGAATGTGACACGAGAGAAACATAACATTAAAGTTTAATATCGTACTTGGTAACAAGACCGGAACAAGACCACGGTATAAATGACATTGGCGAGCCACTCTAGGGTCATTGGTCACGGTGAGAATAACATTCCTTGGTCTGTATTTGGTCATCACTCGTGCCATATGACCAGTAGGAGACATTACGATGATAGCAGCGGCAGAGTAATTATTAGATTTTTCCACTGCGGCTATTGCTATCTCATCAGAAATATCAAATGACTTATCTTGTTGCTATAAATGTCGGGCAAATTAAAATATCATTACAAATTTAGACACACACATAGGTTTCGGAATAGCTGTGAAAATGTAATATTAGTACAAATACTTTTTTAACTATATAAGTATAATTCTATACAATCTACGAATGGTGTATTAAATTTGATCAATAAATGAAAAAGTAAATATAAGCTTTAAGATATTTCACGTTAGAAATACCTGAATATAAGTAATTAATTTAAATTTAAAAAAATAAAAGAAAGATATAGATAATGATTTGAAAAATCTCTGGGCCATGCGTAATTTAAGTGTTGGAACGCAGTTTTTATATCGTTTGACTGAGCTCCTTCTACTTCATTTTTCTCATTTCGAACACTAATTGTAATTGATAAAATTCGTGTTCTCAATTGAACGTGTAAAACCGAAACAAATGTACGAGTGCAATAAGAGAAAAGAAATTGAAAATTTGTTTGATAACAGTCATCCACATCCTCAGCCCGATTCATTACATTCCCGGTAACAGGCGAAGTATATACTTACGGCACTTGAGACGATATCGCGGAAAAATTCCTTCCGCCACATAGCGGACTCAGCTTCCCGGCACAGTTTGTCCATGACACGTACGCATTCGATCGGATATTTACCTTTGGCAGTTTCTCCCGACAACATGACGCAATCGGCACCGTCCATAACGGCGTTGGCCACGTCAGAACACTCTGCCTTCGTCGCTCGCGGTTTGTTCGTCATCGATTCCATCATTTGCGTCGCGCAAATCCCCGGCTTACCATGCTGAACGAAGAACAATTAACATTTCAACGGGCTCAGGGCGATCGGTACCTTACAATGTTGCACTGGGCGAGGATCGATTTTTGTGCCAGAAACACTTTTTCCGGCGGTATTTCGATACCTAAGTCGCCTCTGGCCACCATAATGCCGTCGGATACATCAATTATAGACTGCAAGTTTTCCACGCCCTGGTGGTTCTCGATTTTCGGTACGATGAGTATGTGCTTACCCTGTTCACCTATATATACGTGCGATGTAAATTACTGGCGCGTGGAATTTCGAAACGCGGCGTAAGAATAAAAAATAAAATAAAAGAGAGACCGCAACACGTACCCAAGATTGTCCGTATTTCGCCTATGGCCGATGGTTCTCTGATAAACGATGCGAACACCATGTCCAAATCGTGTTCGACTGCGAACCTCAGATCTGACTTATCCTTCTCCGATACGGCTGGCAGGTCGACGTCTACCCCCGGCAAGTTCACTCCTTTGCGGCTGCCTAACATACCGCCGTCCTCGACGCGGCAGTCTATATATTTTTCGCCTGAAAAAACACGTTCATTTCCATCAATAAGCGATTCTCCAAAACAACTCGAAACAATAACGTGCCCACTTCCTCGGCAATCAGCAACAACAGACCATCGTCAATGTAAATGCGATCGTTTTTTTTCACCACTTTGACGATGTTCGCGTAGTTGACGTACACTTGTCTACTCGAACCGACGTTTTCGATCTCCTTGTCCGTGGTCAGACGGAAGATCTCACCTTTCTTCAATTCCACCTCTTTAGCCACGTCCCGATTTTCACCGTCCAACACGCCGGTTCGAATCTCCGGACCTTTGGTATCTAGAGCAATGGCTAACGGATAGGGCCTTTTGATCTTGTCGCTATAGCATTCCACTGCTCGCCTTAGATTCTGCACGGTGTTAAAGTGATACTCGTGCGTCCCGTGGGAAAAGTTCAACCGAGCTATGTTCATACCGGCTTCCATCAACATTTTCAACATCTTCACATCGGCCGTGGCGGGTCCTATGCAGTAATAATATTAACGCGTAAAACGAGCAATATAATCTCGATTTCAGAACGGTTTACAACGAACCTATAGTGCACACGATGTTTGTCAGCCTTAACGAATGAGTCTTGGCGTTGATGTTCAATGATCTCATATAATCGAGTCTTGTTTCCGAACCATTGCCGTACAGGTCGTTTTTGTTCACCCTAAATTCCTTAAAGATCGTAATATTTACATTAAATTGGTTTAATTCGTCTTGTGCGATGATCTTAATATACCACTTAATGTTATACGAACTTTATTAGCGTTACCGATATGTTGCGGCCAAGCAAAATGTACCTTGTAACTTGTATGTAAACATCTTTTGAACAAATATGTTTGGCACATGTTGATCGATTTAATAAACCAATCCGAAGACATTATTAAATAAGTTAAAATAAAAGAATAATTTTTAATATCTTTAAAAACTGAATAATTTATACAATACCCTATGGTCAATATTTAATCCCCACGACATAACATAATCATAAACATATAAAACTGAGAAGTGAGACTGTTTAATTTTTTACCTATGTATGCGAGATCCGAAATTAGTATGTGACGCTTAATGTCCAAAAACGGAAGTCATCATATGCGATAACCTTGTTAATACTTGTATGTGATATCCATAGAACTTCTCATTATTAATCCATAGATATCACATGGTATGATACAAAAGATAGCATAGATATATATAGGTAGGTACATTGCGAAGTATGTAAGAGGTTAAATAATATCAGCTACGATATATCGCATACGCAGGTGAGGTAACAGCTAGGAATAAGACACTATAAAGCATTATGCTACTACTCTCCCACTATACAAATAAAAAAAAAAACATTAAGAGTAGATCGATTAAAAATTTAGACTTAAATAATTAATTAATAAATATTAATAATAATAATAATAATAATAATAATAATAATAATTATAATATAATAATAATTTATTAATTTATATTAATTATATAATAATTAATTAATTAAATTAAGAGAGCTATAATGACTGTTTAATAAAATAATGTACACATAATGTTTTCATTTGGTGTCTATATCAAGACAAGTTTTATTAAATGTACACAAAGCAAAGGATTATTTAATATATAATTATTTAAGATACTAGTTCAACAAAAAAGTTAGTAACATATCATAAATAACAAATAATTTAGTTAGCCTGGTTAAATAATAATTCATAAATAAAATAGAAAAAGTATAATATTATTCTAATAAATCATATTAATAATAGTATAAAATAAACTTAAAATCTTCAATCAATATATAGCAATGCAATTGATATATATTTATTTTTTTCAATTGGCACTGTAAAACATTTATATTTTAATACATTTAAATTAATTATAAGTCGAGTTTCAGGAATAATTTCATCAACAGAAAACATTTTTATTATACCTGAAGATAGTGGCTTTACAAAAAAAGGTGAATATTTTAATTTAATATTATCACTCAAAAAAAAAAATGTATTATTTTAATTACTTTGACTAAATCACCATTTTCAAGCAAAAAATATGAAACTTTATCTTTTTTTTAACTCACAATAAATTGTTTTAAAATAATTTTTTCATATAATATTTAATTTATTGATTTATTTTCAATATTATCATAGGGCAACTAATTTCGAAGGATAGGGAAATTAGATGGAATGATATAAGTTTGAGCATTTACATGTTCGATTATGTGATTATAAATATCTTGAAGTGGGTTTTTAGAGTTCTTAGAATTCTTTTTAATAAACTGTAAATAATTTTTAAATTATATAAATCTACATAAATCTAAAGTACCATGCATCAAAACAAAATCACTAACATGAATCAACCCATGCACATTATAACTAATATATTATTCACCATATAAAGATGAATATTCACTAACAAATGTTTTCAACAAATCTTTGGTTAAGTAATTATAAGTATGACAAGTTTCAGATAAAATGAGGAGGCGAATAGCAGAACTCAAAAGCATAAAATGTTTGTATAGTGATTTTTTTAATTGGGCTTTTTAATACTATTGAGCCAGTATATAGTAAAGAAGTTCTGAATTCTGTGGCTTTCCAATATTCAACTTCTTCTAATTTTTTAGGCAAACGATTAATGTCTGATGCAGTGGAGGTTTTCCCGGGGAGGCAAGGGAGGCAGTGACTCCCTTGAAAGTACAAGAAACTACACGGTTAATGTTATTTAAATTATTAAATATGTTTTGCTTATAATTTCAAGCATAGACACGTTAATAAAAGGGAAATTAATAAAGATAAATATAAATATAAATTTAAATTAAATATTGAACGGACTATGGAGTATACCGTGCATGGTCTCAATCTTTCAAGTCCGTGGTACTCATCAACTCATGGGTAAGAGAATGCCTAAGTGCCTGTGCGGGTTAGAAAAAAAACAAACAGAGTTTAGGCGTTCTCCATGTTTTGTGTGTACAAGTTATATTATTATTCTTTAAATCATATTATGATTATTTAATACCTACTTTATTCCACGTTATCACTAAATGAGTTATTATCAAATATCAATAGCAATTGTAATATGTTTATTATTTTGTATTATAACGTTTTTTAATATAAAAGATTAGAATAATTATTCAATTGTTTTATTTTCTGTTGTATTTGTTTAGGTAGACGATTAGGTAGTTCGTACTGTGAGTTGTGACTTCTGAGAACAAAATAAAGCATTCTAATTTCAAATTAAAGTTATTAAAGTGATCAGTATTTTTTTGTTTCAAGTTGTTTTTTCATATCTTTTAAAAATGAATCCAATTTATGATCCGATTGTATTGCTTTTGGAACATCCTTACAGACGTTGGAGTACATGTGACAAAAACAATTTACTTAGGCAAGGTAAACCAACTCCTTTTCTGACGTATTTATCTGCAGACAAAATTGGCTCAAAAGTATTTTGTAGGTCTTTCAATTCCAACGTTTATACTAAACATCTTTGGATATGTGGAAGTTTTTATTTACAGAGGTTATTCTGTTGACCATGCATTTTATTGAGTCAGTCAAATTCTGTTTGGATTACATTAGGCTATGCTGATTTTTACTAGGAAGAAACTAGTCAATTTAGAAACTAAAAATTGTTATTATTTAGGTCAATAAATTTATTTGAAATTTTTCTTTTGCATCAATTTTGTAAATATTCAACTATTTGTAACTCAAAACTAAGGAGACACTTTATAGGGTTTGTGTCTCAGTTTTGTATAAATTATAGATGTATATAGTATTTTAATATTATAATTATAATTTATATACAATATACCTACCAGTAATGCCAAATTGTAACTTAGTAGTTAGCATTTAATTATGTGTTATAGTGAAAATGAAACCTTTTTCTGACAGATTTTTAAAGAAAAAAAATGTATTTAAACAAAATAAATGAGTTTTTAGGACTGTGCGATTCGCTTTAATAAGTCCAGATGGGTAGGAACAAAATTATTGCTTCCTCAAAATTTTAATGTCAGAACCGCCACTGATCTGATGGTAAAAAAGATTTGGTATTAACTAATTTTTGGGATATTTCATCAGGATTTATTAATTAGGTTTTTTACCTTTGATCCAAAAATCAATTAATTTTTTAACAACACCGAGACATATAGTATGCATGTATTCAAGTACAACTACCGATATTATATTTATAAGCAATTCTTCTAATGGACTTGTATCTTTATGATAGTATTCATCAAGTTTTTAAAATATATTATAATTATTTAGTCTAATAAAAATACTTTAGAATTTACTTAATTGTAACTACCTTTGATAATTTCAAATTTGCAATTGAAATAGTGTTGGGAAAGGAGTTGTTCTTTGTCGCTGTTGGATACGATAGTGGTGCGGTATCGCGGACGTGTAAAGTTTGGGATTTTACAGCGATAACGTCTAAAAATAGTAAGATTAACTATTAAAAATCCATTAGAAAACCATTGGATCACTCGGTTACACTGGGCTACTATACTACAGTAACTATAGTAAGAGTATACCTACTAGAGTAAAATCGTTTTGTGTGATTTTTCTCTAGCTGGCAAAATCGCTAGTGTACAAGCGAGTATTGACTGGTCTATAAACATCTTTTAAATTTTTCATTTTTGCCTTGAGTTCCTTTTCATCTATTTCCATTATCAACCCTTCATTCTCAAGGTCTGCATACAACATTTTAAACATTTAATTTTTAATTTTATGTTTAAATAGTGTTTAAATTGCTCAATGTAATCGGACAGGTCACACGCGCGATTTTGATTGCTGACACGCAGCGTGTAAATTCGTCCAGTGTATAGTTAAGCTAGTGCTGTATTTAGTCATTTTTCGCCCCGACGCAAAAAAAAAATTGGCACCCCTCTAAGAGGCCTATCCACGTAAAATATAGAAGATAGATCCTCATGAACCTTTTAGCATTGATTATAGAAATCCTATAAACTATATTAACAACTGTTATCGTTAACAATTTATTAAATACTTAATATTGTTCAATTAAGGTTATAAATTACAAGTAAACCATGGTGGAAAAATTGCATGAATATCAGGGACCAATTGGTATTTTCCATACATGGAGAGACGCATTACGAGATAAATGGGATGAATGGAAGGAGAATCGTCCTCGAACGCTTTTAGATGTCTTGCAATCACTAGGTTTGGCTGAACGTCCAGAAAATCGAAGCGAAGAAGAACATCCTCCAGAAGTGGATATGGAGCAGTATTCTGACATTTTCAGGTAAAAGTAATATGTTTAAGCCGAAGGTAACAATAGTGATTACTTATATTATGTTCTGTATAAAAATTAAAAAAAAAAACAATCCAAAAAAAGTAGTTTAAATTGTACACAATTATTTTAATCGTTTTTAGAAGGAAAACAAGAGGTGAACTCGTACGCATATCCGCGGCTGTCATGGGGATAGAATTTTCATATGCAGCAGAAACGACGTTTGTATCGCCAACGCTTTTGAATATAGGAGTCACCCATCAGCACATGACACTAGTATGGGCAGTGTCGCCTTGCATTGGATTTTTCGTCACGCCCATTTTGGGATCTTTAAGTGACAGATGCACGCTTCCGTTGGGCCGACGTAGGCCATTTCTCATATTGCTGGCTTGTGGAGTGTTCTTAGGTAAGTGTAAACAAATGAACTGTCTCACGGATATTTTATAAATTGGTAAATTGAGTGTAGGGCTGATATTGGTGCCAAACGGAAAACTATTCGGACATTGGGTGGAAGGCAATTCAGAGCCTGGAAACAATTTTTGGGCGTTATTTTTCACGATACTGGGCACGGTATTGTTGGACTTCGACGCGGACGCATGTCAAAGTCCAGCGAGGGCTTATCTTCTAGACATTTGCGTTCCAGGTAATTTTTGATCGAGAGATGAATTTATTTTATTGAAACATTTCAAAAATATATACAGAGGACCACGCCAAGGGACTGAGCACTTTCACGATAATGGCCGGCTTAGGAGGGTGTATCGGCTATCTCTTAGGTGGAATCGATTGGGATTCGTTAAAATTTGGTAAAACTAATTCACTTAAATCAGAGTTATTTATGAACCTATTTGCTATTATCAATTTACTCTTTAGGAGAACTGATGGGTGGCCACGTAAGAGCGGTGTTTACATTGGTCACATTTCTTTTCATCGGTTGTGTCACTTACACCGTCAGTAGTTTTAAAGAGATGCCGTTAAAGTTATTACGGTTGAACCAAACTAGGATATTGATCACGTCGACCGATGATGTCAGTTAAAAATAACATCGTCAAAACTGAAATTAACGATAATAATCGTGTTTTATAGGATTGTGATAAACTCACAGAACATGCAACGAAATCATATGGAACTCTAAAAGACGCTGCTAATGAGATCCAAATCGATAATGACGAACCCCCTCTGATACCGGTAAGCTGTGGATATTGATCACGCGGTCCATTAACATTATAGTAACCGTTTTCATATAGGAGCACGTGACATTCGGCCATTACTTGAAAACCATAGTGGTGATGCCCAAGTCAATAAAGTTGCTGTGCTTGACGAACTTGTTCTGTTGGATGGCCCACGTCAGCTATTCGCTTTATTTCACGGACTACGTTGGCGAAGCCGTGTTCGGTGGCGATCCCACGGTACGGAAACGTGATAACGATGATAATAAAAAAACAATAAAAAATGTTTAAAAAAAAAAATAAAACGCTCGTCGGACGATCTCGGCCGGCGACGTCCGAATTAGTTTTCGCTTTCGAACGCGGATAGCTGCGGTCGGTCGACGGACGTTTTGCGCGATCAATCGGACACGCGTTATTAAATTACAACATTACCGTGGTAGGCGTTGGCGGGAACCGAAAAGAAAATGCTGTACGACCAAGGCGTACGGTTCGGGTCGATTGGTATGGCGATGTACTCGCTGTCGTGCGCCTGCTACTCCAGCGTCATCGAGAGACTCATCAAACGTTTCGGGTGAGCACAAAAAACAACTATCGCGCAACGTGTCCGTTGCGCGATGGTTAGGCGCAAGAGGACGGTCTTCAGCACCCCTCAGTTCAAATTCAGCACCGCTGGGTTGATTTTTATACCGGCCAATCTATAATAATTACAGTGATATACCATCATCAGTTTTGTGTTCAGCGATTTCAGCGTCCCTAATGTTTGGGACACCGAGTTGATCTAAAAACGTCCGTTTGCACACAGGGCCAGACGCGTGTATGTCGGAGGTCTGCTTTTCTACTCCACCGGTATGTTTTTGATGGCCGTCACTCGACACAAGTTCAGCGTGATATTCTTCTCCTGGTCGGCCGGTGTGATGTACTCCACGATGTTCACGATGCCGTACCTGCTGATCGCCCACTACCATTCCACCAACACGGTTATACTTTGTAGTAGTCTTATGCCGTAATCGATTGTTCCTCGACGTCCTCCTCGCTCCCGTGCCGCATTGTAACGTACGATTAGTTCTATTTTATTTGTATTGTTGTTTTCAGTTCGTCGAAAACACCCGCGATCAAGAGTCAAACGACCAAGTTAGAGGACTGGGCACGGACGTCGCTGTGGTCAGCTCCATGGTGTTCGTGGCTCAATTCATTCTGTCCATGTGCATGGGCACGATTGTCAGCGTGTCCGGGACGACATCGGCTGTCGTTTACACGGCTTCGTTTTTGGCTTTCTGTGCTTCAATAGTCGCCACGCAAATTGTGTATTTAGACCTATGAAAACGTTATTGGAAATTAGAAAACCTACTATGCGTTAAACTTTTCATTTTAAATATAAGTTTCTCTCACTTGTTATATTTGCTTCGTTAAACTATGTTCGTACGACACACATAACTGCAATAATATATTCATTTTACATACATCAAATAGTTTTTACTTGTGAATAAATAACCATGTACTTGGAAATAACTAATATAAATAAAATACTGATTATTTAACAACTACATTAAACTTACCAAAGTCATATATACAACTTAATATGATGACAACCAAAACTTATGACAGATAAATCCGATACGTTAGTGCAAGACTGTAACTAAAAAAAGATCATTATCGAGGTCGTAATCTTTCCAAATTGTATGTTACATTTTAAATTAAAATTGTTTATAAAAATACGGTTTTTATTACGACCAATATTTATAATTAATTGTTTTATGATAAATAATTTTTATGTAGAGAAACTTATTTTATAATTAAAAATATCTTATTATATATTAAAATAAATAAACAATCTAAATTCTATTCGATATGTAGTATAATATTTTCACTTAATACATAATTAATATATCATGTACAAAATATTTAAAATTTTTCCACCCAACTACCAAAATTATGTCCATCATAATTATTATAAGTTCATAAAAGTTTTCATTTAAAGAAATTTATAATTTGAGTTATTTACTTGTTACTACATAATAATATTGAAATATTATATGTCTAATTTTTTATAATACTTTTTGTACAAATACTATTTGGAGTAAAAAAATGATAAATTTACTTATTTTCAGTTAGGCAGAAATAAAAGAATTTATTCAACAAGTTAAAAATTCGAAAACATACAAAAAATAATTAAATCTAAAATGTAATTAGTTAAAGCATTTTTAAAAATTGAAGAGAATATTTTTGCTGTAATGTGCGAACAAAGGCAAATTAAAAAAAAAAAAAAAAAAAAAATATTAAAAATTTTCAGAAATCTTGGTTGATTACAAATAATTTAGGTGGGTACATATAATTATACTATAAATGTATATACCATACTAAAACAATAACATACTTAACTAAAATAACATATCATATGTATGTAATATAAATTTTATAGGCATATATATGTGCAATGTATAATATAGTGTAAACTATGTTAAAATTGTTGTTTTGAAATTAATTTATAATAACATAATGGTAACTAATTATTTATATATTTTATAATACATAACTTTAAGAGTTATATTTATATATTAACCTTATAACAATTTTAGTCTTATATTGTAAATAATCATAGGTATTTAGATAACATTTGTATGGGAAAAATATTTTTCTTAAATAAATAATTTACCTACCTATTAACGTAAAATAGAAGATAATAAATAAATAATTTACTTTGTTGATCTGACTAGGAATAATCCCCGAAATGGCATCTGAAATCAAGAAAATAATTTTTGATGTTTCCGGTTTTCGAAACAACACTCGCATTTTCTTTTTGGACCTTTTATTTGGACATTTTCGGGTAATTAGCTCCTCTTGATTGGTCTTGATTCATATTTTCCAATAAATTTTCGATGACGTTTCAGATTCAACGATTTATGCAACGGTTAACGTAATATAAATCCGTTTATAATTGTTGGTCCATGTAGACGGCAACATTTTGTTCAACAAATGTGCCCAAGCACATGTAAATGCAAACGAGCATTGGTAAAAACCCGTTCGTGCTCGACGAACTGGTCGGGTTCACTACACTCATAATGAGGCCTATTTTCAAACATATCGAAACGGATAGTCAACAAAAACTGTTTGACATATTCAATCCACAAAATTCGATCAATCGTATTCTCAAAGAACCATCGGATACTGAATATCGAATGAAAATGCATTCAATACACTTATCGATCATCGAATAAAATCGAAGTTTTTTCCATGATATTTTCAATTGTTATCACGAACATGTATGCTTCGTAACCTGTTCCAGCATGGAATTTTCTACGACACTCGTTCGAAGCATTATTTTTTTATCCTGTCGAACATCCACGAACGGTTTAACACACCCCTTGCAAACGACAACCCTCGTAACCGTTCATACCCGTCCATTGCTATTTGTGTTACCGCCGTCTCTGCACGACAGCCCTTACGGTTTCCCAGGCACGGCAAGTCGCCAATATTTGTTTATATGCACCAGCGATTCCCAAATTTTTTCAGTCACGGAACCTTTTCTTAAACAGTATTTTCTCGTAAAGCCCTAAAGAATATTTAGTATCAAGTTTTATCCGCTTGTGTTCTACGAAGCATATTACACGTGATATGTATTTACATTGGAGGAAACTCAAAACGAGATATTGTACGTTTAATATTATATTTACATACAATATATCTGACCGAGAAATAACTGGAATGGGAAGCGTACTATCTAAAATTAAAAAATTATACTATCCTATGGGGATTTTAATATTGTTTGTATATGTATCGGTGAATTATATTTGAGTCGACGGAGACTTGTAAAAATATATACGCTCGTTGTTTTAAATAACGATCAATAATCGTTACGTTTTTACATTGTCTATAGTAAAACGAACGGATCACTTTAGAAACAATTACAGAGCAATAAGGGCTCCGCGGATTACAATTTTGGGAACCGCTGGTTTATACGAAAACGGTATACTCGAATTCTGGTTTGCTAGTAACTGTATGATATATTTTTCTATTTTACACGACTTATGTAAAACCATTTTCTCCTTATTAGGGACATTATTATTTATTATCGGAGCGTCAACAACATTATTGTTTATTAAATTATATTTATTATCCTAGTAATACTTCAACATAGACGTCAACAAAACATAATATTGAAGAAAGAGATTAAAACACCAAAGTTACAAATGCTCATACGATACAACATTTTAGGATTACAAATTATTAAATCCTATGAAAGACGTGGGGCCGTTTAAATCGCGGCGTCTTGGATAGCTGCTCCTTCTGCCCTGCCCTCTCGCCGGAGTTGTTTCTACACACGTAGGGATACCCTATGATCGCATATTCTTCGCACCGTGATCTTATTTGCAAACGTGCTCCGTGTGCCATCTGTACGTCTGTGCAACAAAATCTTGACGCGTTCGCTATTTATCATTTTTTTACAATCAATAAATCAGTACGGTCCAGCGATCGCAACGTTGATAGGGGTAACCTATCGTCAGTAACCATTCGAAAACGTCGCACGTTTCGACGTGTCGAATTACATCGAATACCGAACGTATCGTATGGAATATCTTGCTCGACACATCTTGGAAATATCTAACTAACCGGGACGGTACAATACACCGGATTATTATTGACACAATTTCGGAGACGCCACGTTTTTACGATTTTAAATATTCTTTATTAAATGACATAAAAAAATAGACTGACTTTTGTTTATGATCACGGTAAAAATTTTGCCACCCCTTTAAATGTGTCAAATATGACGATGGTCCCCCCCTCACCCCAAACCACCCAATAAATACAAACCTGTATACGTATGATATAAATACATAAGTATCAGCTATCATTTTAATTCTTATGCGTCTAAACAATTATGAAAAATGTTGACAAAGTAAAGTGTATTCTTTTTCTTCCGGTCGTTGAACATTCGTCGCGGTCGACTGTCAACATTGCTGCATCATTCAAACATTCAAATTCGCCCAGACAGTTCCAAAATGTTACTCATACTGTGTATTACATCGATCTCGCTCACATCTTGCCATGGAAAAGACATTTTTCCCGAAGCACTGGTATTTAAAGGACTAGGCTTACCAGACATGGTCAACAGTTCGGATACTAGTGAATACCATAACGGTACTATAATGGTTGCAGGAAATTTGAACGACGCTTTGACGACCATGAGTTTTCACAGGTATGGTTTTTATCTAATACATAATATTAAAATATTCATATATTGTTACAATGGTAGCAACCTTTTTTTTCTATCTTTTTTTATAAGAAAATGTAAAATTTATTTAATAAAGGATACAATAAAGAAGATAACAATTTGTAAAAAATTATACATAAACATGAAATTAAAACACGATAAAAGAGACCATTCATTAATAAAACCTTTTAGAACAAGAATTTTTTTATTAATTTGGAAGTTATGGCATTAGAGTCTTTTATTTGATGACGTGAGAGTGATTTTCGAGAGTGTAAGTGAGGATAAGTTAGATATGAATGGATTACGGTAGTGTTCTTAATTGCATAACTTCTGTAAATAACATTTAATTAGGCGCACTTGAACAAATTAAATTAGACATTACTAGTGAATTTCATATTAATAGTTTTAAACTCAACGATATAAAACTGATAACTTAAATTATGATTATTAAGCGACTAAACAAAAGTGTTCAATCACATATCTCTATTCTAAAATTTAAGATGAAAATACGGATGTTATTAAGTTCACAAAAAATAATATTATTAATATATTATTAAAAGTATTAAATATTTCAACGCTGTCGCTTGTTTGTTTTCGTCATTCAAAACTGCAAGTGAATAGTTCCTGATGATTTTTCAAAAATAAAAGAATTATCAATGCATTATTTAGTTCTACTTATGCTTGCGAATAAACATTTTCCTCTATGAATTACGCAACATTTTCAAAACGATCTCGTTTGACTCAATACTTCATTCTTTATTAAGAATTAGCATTACAAATTTTACTCAAAGTATTGAAAAATAGGTTAGAGAAAAACAACCCTCAAATTGTATACTTATTTATTTATATTTTTTTTCTAAAATATAATGGGAGATGGTAAACTGTGGCAAAATTCAATTTTTTCCGAAAGTCGATATGTACTCGTAATCTGCGGCAAGAAAAAATTTAATATTTTACAATCTGTAACAAAACCGATCAGATACATTATATAAGCTGTGACAATTAATTTTATGTACCTATGATATTATACACTAAATAGTATGTAATGTGTATCTATGCACGTATATCGTTTAATTAATTTTGATATATTGCGTCTTGTGTTCAAAATGGTAAGGTAAATCCAAATGTAGATATTTTAGTTTTAACGAAACCTACTAAATATCGGTTCTTTTATTTTTTATAATACTAATTAGTACCTACTTAATAGTGTTAGATGTCAGTATAAGTAGTTAAAAGTTTAATACTTAATTCTTGTGATGGAATTTACAACAATTTTTAGCTAGAATGGCAAACGATTAATAGTTTTAAACAATTTTAAATTCAAATTTAATAATTAAATTTGAATTTAAAATAATTATTATTATGAATCAAAAATAAGTTGTAATATAATATGGTAACACGCAAGACGCAAAATAATATAATTAATTAAGCGATATACGTGCATAGGTGTACATAGTTACAAATTGCAAACTATTTAGTATTACATATAATATCGTAGGTAAATGAAATAAATTTCCGCAGCTTACATAATGTATACTGATTAATTTTGCCACAGTTAACATACAGCCAATATAATATACATATATTTTTTAATAAAAATAAAAATTGTAAGAACTGATTTGATTTGTAATTTTTAAAAGTTTATTTAAATTTTTTTTGTAATTGTAATTGTAATTTTTATTTCTTTTTATAGGTACCTAAAGAAATTTGTAATTTCATAAGATAGTCACGGACCGGTTAGAATACTTCTGTGAATTGTGGTTTAGACACGTCTGACCAACTGTTTCCATACTTCAAATCTATAATCAATGAAGCCAATTTTATAGAAATCTATTAATATTTCGAACTACAAATATATGCAATCATGGTTTCCGTTATAATATAATAATAATTTGAATTAATATTTGATTACAATATTATCGTAGATAATAAATTAACAGAATATCGAGAAATTAAATTAAATTAAAATGTTTGTCAATCATTTATATCTCATAAGATCAAGTTGTATATGAATTAAATTACTAATTTAAACTGCAAGATCAATTCAATCACAAAAACAATGATTTATGAAGAACGTTTAAAAACACTAAGTAGTTTTTTTCAGAGAAAAAATAAGTGATTATCTCTGCAGACAATACATAGTGGAGGAAATATTACAAGATATTACCCGTAGTGCGTCATCTGAAAGCCGATCGTTACCCTTGGACAGTCACGGGATGGACATAATGCACATGGATCAAGGTTCATCTGCATACAATGCATGGCTGTCCAAGTATTCGCTACGAAATATTTAACTTTATAGTAAATAAAATGCATTTTTCGTCTGTTTTCAGAACAAAATTGTTGAAAAAAATTTACGACGAATTCGACCTAAACATTAAAATGCACGAAAAACCAGTTGGGTTTACACTAACAAATAAAAATAATCAAAGTAATTACGCGAGCCGTTTGTTTTATTGCCCCGGTTAATTTCTTAACGTTTTCTAGGTTCCGGAGCACATGACAATAACGGCACATACAACAATATAAATGTGTCAGACACCACGAATGATTCGAACAAACTTCAACATTTGCCTGAAGGTTCATGTAATAATAATATGTTATAATAAATTACCAAGATATTTTACACGATTATAATAGTCGTTATAGTTAGTTGAAACTAGCCCAAATACAGTAGAGCATTAACTGTTTGGTACTTACGCGTGAAACGTATCCCATGCACCAAATAACACACGTTAATTTACAATTAACTTGCGATCTCAATCGTAAAATATTTTATAAGAACAAAAAAAAAATTGTAAATTGTTTTTACATTTTATAAAATATTGATCGTATCTATTATTGTTCAAACAAAAAATGAAATTATTTGTTTATTATAAAATTGCAGAAAAATCCGAGTGTTAAATACATATTATACTGCACGGAAACAATAATTCTTATTAATATCACAGAACAACAGTACAGACGTATCTCTAAGTATATCTTAATAATGACCTATATCGATACAACTTTAATAATTGAAAAAAAATTTAAAAAATTTACCGATATTTTTATTCAACACCATTTAAAATGTAATATAATTTATGTCAAAGGTTTAAGTAACCCTACGCACCTAACTCGTGGTAAACGTAGGTTACCTTATTGAAATACGTGACAGTAAATTAATCCAATCTCTTTTGGTTTATAGGCTCATTTTTAAGTCCCAGTGAAACTAACAGTGTGGATTTTCAACAAAGTCAATCGACGCATTACGATATTGACAATTCAAATGAATACAAAAACTCACCGGATCTACCAATATACTACGGCTCTCCTGAATTTAGTTTCAAGCAATCTCCACAGCAACATTCATCATACAAACCTCCTCCATCATCATATCAAACACCACCATCATCAAACGAACCATCTTCTCCATCATACAAACAAACTCATTCATTGCTCGGATTACTACCATCATCATATGGAACACCTCCTTCATCATATAAACAAACTCCTTCAACGAATGAACCACCTCCTTCGTTTTATATACAACCACCGCCACAACCATCACCACCACCACCAACCTATGGTTATCCTTATAATATACTACCATTAAATCCAAATCCCGGTTTAGTTCCACCAACATCAAATTCAGGTAAATACTACCTCATCGCTGATGAGGTACTACCTCATCGCTGAACAGTTATATAACAAATTAGTAATTTCACCACAATCCCAAGTCATTCATGATTTTAAGTGAAAATAAAATAAAAATAAAATTGCATATCCATAAAAATAGCCTGTTATTTTTTTACTTCTGTATATCTTATTATTAATTTTTAATGTATATTTTATAATTCACTCTTTAAATTATTTAAAAATTTAAACAATTGTATTGTACAACATCGTATTATTTACTTTTAGATCCAGGACTAAGTACACAAGGTATTGGACAGTTTAATAAACCGGACGATGAAATTAATAATTCAAACACAGAAGCAATAAGATCAGGGCTTTCAACAATGGATTTATATGACCTAACTTTAACTGTCATTGCATTCCTAGGATTCGGTACATTTGTCATGAACTTGGTCATGGACGCAATTTCGGTAAGTAATTTCTACTCATAGTAGAATTAAATATTTCGACAAATTCAATTACACGGTCGTAATTGATTAATACAAATATCCAATTATATCATCAAATCAAAGTAAAAAAACTCACGAAAAGCAAAGAATAAAAGAATACAATTTTGTAAGAAAAAAAAAAAATGGGAAAATATTTAACAGTGCTATCAAAAATGTGATACGTCTAATTTAAATTGGTGCCTCCCCTTCTTTCCTATGACAAGTATCGAAATTATACATAGGATGTATCTATAACAGTTCACGTGTACTAACATCTCTATAGATTTAACTTTTTTTGAAACGAGTCAAACAATTTTCGAGTCCATCTCATGTATACAATAAAGTGCACGTTTTTATAAAATAAAAATTAATAAAATATAAATATAGATCAAGAGTTCACTCAGACCTTGTTTCATTTTTTACCGATCGTTTAAGGTACAACCGTCAGCGACTTTGGTAATGAACTCGTCGCCATTATTTGGGGCTTCCGTGTCGAGAACTAAAAGACAAGTCGATCCCGGAGTGCGGGAGATTAACGAGTTGTCATGGACAGCGGTGTCGATGATAGACCATATGATGGCAAATGTGGATGGAACCAAGATAAATTGCGAGGAAGTCAAACAGTCGTGTCAGAAATCCAAACGACTGGTTAAAAATGGTACAAACTTCAGTTCGAAACTATTGCCAGTTTGGAAGTAAGTCGAATAGTATTTAATTATTATAGATTTTAAAAACACATGCCTAATAATATAAAACATACAAGTTGAAAGACTTTCGCCATCAAAGAATATGATGTTATGTAAAAAATATTATTTCAACCATTACATATTCAACCATACATGTATTTTATTTTCATTTTATTTTATATTCACGTATGACATAAATGTTCTTATGGGGAGATACATATGATACATTATTTTCAATAATTCTGAAAAATTCGTATTATTAGACTTAAGATTTTTAAAAACAAATATAAATCATTTTATCTCGTAGCTTAGATCAAAATTATAACAATTATGACACGAATTAAGGATATTTGTAACATTGTAATATTACAGTTGTGTTAGGAAAACCGACAAAGCCCTAATATTATTATGAATTACCAAAAAAAAAAAAAAATTATGTGTATTCAAATCAAAAAATGTAAAAGAAATATTCTTTAAATATTTGAGTTTTACATCTTAATCATATATATTACATGTGTTAATTAATAACAATTATTTGTCTTTACAGTATTTCTTTAGATTGGCTTTCGAAGAAATTAGGAAAGGATACAGGCCAACCAGTGATATCTGCATTATTGGGACATTGTACTTTACCCGCACAATGCTTGTCAAAATCATAATTTAATTTATAGTTGAACTCTTAAAAAAAATATCTATTTACTTAATTTATTTATTTTTATTAAATTGACTTTAAAGAGTCCACGTGTTGGTGCCTCTATGAACTAATGAGAATTAAATAATATGAATGGGACATTCTATTATTAATATATATATATTTTAGTCCCCAAATTATATAAGCTGAGATTTTTTAAACCGTTCAAATAATTTTTTAATTTTTTAATTAAAATTTCATTAAAATACAATTATTTTTTTATTTACCTTGAAAACGTTTTAGAAAAACCATCTATAGTTAATAAAACTTCTATTCAAGACAAAACAAACGATTTTAAATCATTCTCAACAAATTTATTGGAATTAGGTTTTGGCTTTGTTGTAACTAAACCAATAAAATATGAAGGTAATTATTAAAAAATATGTACATATTTGTAAATAACGGTTGAAATCATTTAAAAATATGAAATATTAACAATAAAATATATCGACAGGAAAAAATTGTAAGTACAGGTTCTCACTTGAACGTGAAGAATTGCCAATTAAATTCATGAGCTGTCCATTTTTAATTAAAGAGCATGTTTATTATGAATGTCTAAATGGACCTCATCGTAAATCCAATGGTAATGATCAGGGTTGGAATTTTATAGCATTTGCATATTTCTTATGAGATGCTTAAAAAATAGCAGAGTAAGCTAAAAATGTGTTTCATGATACAGAGAACTCAAATAAAAAATTGTATTTTGTTTTTTTTTTGCATATTTTGAATTTTTTAGTTTTTAGTACTTTTTTCTGGATATTTTTAGACTTTTTTAAATTTTACCTGTGTTTTTAATCAAAATCGGGTATATTTTATGAAACTGTATTTTAGTAAACGTGTTTTTTGATTTTATCAATCGTATTTTCAAGTAAATTATAAATGTATAGATTAAGTAAATAGAGCGATTACGCTGATGCAACACGTACAATTACAGCGATAATATATAGGTAAGTATAATATAATATTATGATAATTTCGTTTTAGTTATTTGGTTCTAATTTTTGTTATCTGCTGATTTTGTTGGTTTTTTTTTTTTTTTTTTTTGTTGATTTCTACTAAATCTACTAATAACCGATTATCATCGAAAGTTTGTAGAATTCGTTTTATACAGTCCACATTCGTCTCGTGTGCTCGTACAAAATTATTAAATAATACATTTCCTTTTTTTGTTTTGCATATTTTGTTGTTTTTATTGCATATTTTAAGAGCTTATTTAGCGATTTTTAAGGTAATATTATAGCGTATATTTATGCAATTTTAAGTGCTATAAAATTCTAAACTTGGTAATGATATAAATGTAATAGCACTACTAATAAGTTTCTACAGTAAAATTATCGGTACTTAAAAACAATAAAAGATAATATTGCTATTTATTAAGTTATAATTTTAATATTACGTATTGACATTATCAATGTGTGTTATCATTACAACATTTGTAAACATTGCCAGCTTTGCATATAGCGGTCATGACTCATGTCCTCCCGTAATGTTCTGTAGGAAATCGGCGATCAGTTGTTTTATATATCTATGCTTATAACCAAGGTTTTTAGATTATAAATTTAAATGATACCTATAATATATAAGCCTTGGCTCTTAACCACCACCCATAGCCTTCGTGACGTGGGCACGCGTGATTTATATCCACTGTAGTGGTTCTCAAACGTTTACGACCACGGAACCTTTAGGAAATAGTTTGTGTTTCATGGAACCTAACGATTTCTCCAACTCCGACTTAACCCCGATTTTTCAATTATTTATTGATAAACCAACACTCCTAAAAAAAAAAAAAACATTTAACGATACTTCATAATTATTGTTTATTACAATTACTACTGTCAATATTCACGTTCATCTTACGGAACCCTTGAGATTTTCCCACGAAACCCTTTCGTTTCACGGAACACACCTTGAGAATCGCTGATCCACCTGAAAGACGATGTTATTGTTGTTTTACATAAAGTTGAGTCAAATTGAAACGTTTCACGTGGTATCCAATTCAATCAATTTGAACCATATAATTTGACAAATTATTCGTTAAAAAACTACTATTCAACTTAACACATACGAGACTATAAAATATAATTATATAACTATATGAACTATATAAAATTATATATAAAAAAATTTAAATTATATAAATATAAAATAACATAATAATAGATTATATAAAATAAATCGTATATAGGTACAAAGAATGTGATAACTGAAACTTGATTTATATTGATCGCGTTATTACTAGGTATTTTATATGGATATAAAATTTATTAAAATTCCAGTCAACGGGTTGCATATTTTATGTTACACAGCGTGCACAAAGATACCTCTGTCGTTATATGTGATAGTTGTGTACTATTAACGTAGTTTTTAGTCGGTATATATATATTATATATATATATGGTTTGCATCATTTAAAAACAAATCCAAGGGTTACTTGATCAAACTGTACTGTTATTATTACAAATATAATATACTACTAGGTACTGTTATACAATACGAAATAAATTTAATTTAAATTAAAATATAACGTTAACAACAATATCAACAATATTGTACAATTTATTTTATTTGTTTGTTATCGCATTATGTCGTCGAAAGTTATTGTGTTTCACTCTTTTATTTTTCAATCATGAGATATTATACAATCAATCATATAAGTATACCGTGTATATAGGCAGTGTGCACGTGAAGACAGGTGTTCTTGAAATCAATTGTAATTTGATTGATTTGTTTTATTTAAAATAAAGTGAGCCAGCGTTAGCATATTTATTGCTTTTATCGTTATTATTATGTGATCCTCATTCAGGCTTCGTGGTAAATAAAAATTGACGGTAAAATGTAGAGAATGTATAGTTTACGTATCTAATACACTTCACATATCGAATGGAATATTGCAGCCAACTGATTCACTGAAAATACGACACACTACGAACCTTCTGTAAGTCATTAACACGGATGAATAATGTTAATAAAATAAAATTGAAAGTCATTCAATACGGACGTTTTCGATGAGAATAGAAATTTTGAGTTAATGTAGTAAAATTTCATAAGGTGATGTACATTTATTTTTATTTTTATCGCCACTCAATGAATTATTAATTTTATTGTTTAATGCTCTAAATGCATTCGTAAAAAAATTTAGTTATGTTTATGATATTCATTCGGTTTACTATTACTGCTACTACGCCGTGTCGGCGACGCCCAACGATCAAATTTTAAAGTTATTAAATGTATACAGATTGTCCAACCATTTCGCCGCATTCTCCATGTTGAAGTGTTCATGATTTATCATCTACTTACAAAACAGTACAGAACACAAATATTATGAAAATGTATTATTAACATGTGAAATCTCTGATTAAATAACAGATTACGACAACGTAAGTACAAACTTACGTGTACTTTGTGGCTATTGTGGCTTTATATATCAGCATGCAGTGCGCGTTTATAACACGTTAGCAATAGGATAGCACACTTGGCAGTTGTTTCTGAAGAAATTTATGTCCTAACAATAATAATCATTAACATGTTTCATTATGTCATGATAGCAACGATATTTTCCGTGATTATTAGCCTAATAAGACTTTTAAACAAATCAATGTGTTAAGACTTCCTCAAATATTTTAACACTATAATATTAAATAAATTTACAAATTCTGACCAAGTATTCAGCGTCTTAATTGTCAGTCAAATAATAAATCGACTTTGTTAATAAATCTAACATGTATTGAAATATTTTAGAACAATATAATTACCATTGTTTAGATTCTATTGTTAGATTTTTTATTAATTCCAATAAATTAACTCCTCTAAACATAAACATGTAAGATATTTTTTTTTTATTTAATATGTTGTTAAACTTAGGTATTAATATAATTAAAGAATACATGTATATCTATACCTAGCCAAATACATAATTATTTATAATATTCATCTCAATAAACCTAATAAATTTTAAAATGTTGAATTTTGAGATTCAAAATATGCCTAAATTCAACGTGTTTACATTTTTTTTTTAATTTACGAATATGAATTATGAACTCCGATTAATACATTAATTAATATATTGAGTTTGAGTTATTTTAGTAAATAATATTTACTTATATTTTTCTTATCTTCTATTTAACTTGATGGTTTTTGATTACGCCATGTAATTTATAAAGTACACATACATTTCTGTTTCTTCTTCTTGTTTCACTTTACGGCTCTTTAAGAGCCTTTGTGGCTGTACAGTATTCTTCCAAGACTCGTTCTTGAATTTTTTCTTCCCAATATACGTAGTTGTTCCGTGCATTTTTTTCATTTTGTTCATCAAATGCCTCTTAGTCTCTTACCATCTGGAATCCAATTTATTATTACCTTTATTCTTTCTGTATTATTTCTACACATTGACCATATAATTTAACTTTTGGCTTTTTAAATAGTTTGCTATCTATGGAACCCCCAGTCTCCTCTCTCGGCTGTTTGTTATATCTTATTCTCAATTGATCTTTTTCTATCAAAAATAGGTCCACATATTTTCCTCAAAATCTTGTTCTGGAAAATAATTAATTTTTGTTCCATATTTTTTTTTTTTGTTATATGTCTAAATGTCGCATCCTTAAGTCAATGTTATTCTCATTACTGCTGTATATAATTAAATTTAAATATAATAAGGAACAGTAGGTATGTTCTTTCCTCTTTCTGTAAATAAATATCCTTTTTAATTTAAATTTACTCCTAGCTGTTTAAAAGTTTCTATTGTTTTAAAAGTATAATTGTTGATCTTAAGTGTCTTTGTATCACTTTCCAAAGTTTCCATAACTTTTGTTTTTTCGTTATTCATTTTCAGGTCCAGTATCATTCCTAATTAGACTTTCTGTCTTCCTTAATAGGCTTTTTATGTCTTTCCCTATAATTCTATAAAGTTTAGGTCATCCGCATAAGCCTAATACTTCAATATTAACCAAATCAATATAAATTTCTTCGTTCAACGATTCTCGTATTTTTCTAATTATTTTCTATAGTACAATACTGAAAATTTGGGGATATCCCATCACATTGCTTTAATCTTATAATAACTCCAAGGATTTCAGATAAAACATTTAATGTTCTTACTTGATAAAGTCTATTTTCCATAATATTTTTAATATTATTATTATCATATTACAAAGCAAATAATACTAAAATTTTTAAAGAACAACTTAATAGTCATAATTTAAATATAATTGTATCAATAAATTGTAAATAATAATATTTGTTAACTATTTTACTTCAAATATTCCTTCTTTAACAAATAAAAAAAACCTTAAAACAAATTTCATAGAACTAAAAAGAATTTACAGACTTTTTTAACATTGCAAGAGAACAGTTTTTTTGCACATTAGTTTGCAACCTATAAACTAATTAGTATATATTATAAATATACACTAAATTTGATACAACTTACAATAAAACATCTCGATAAGTTTATTTGGGTAACATATAAATCTTTAATACACCAGTTATTACATAATACTAATTAAAAATATAACAGATTTAATAAATAATCAAGAATCACACAAAAACTGAGAGTGGTGATGAAAATGTTGTTCTACAAAACTCGAAATGAAGTAATGTCCATGGTCATATCCTTCTGGGGTATTTACCGAAACAGAAACCCCTGCTTTTTCACAAGCGTTAATCAAGTTCTCCAATTTTAAGTCACTTTTGTATTGATCATTGGTTCCCTAAAAAAAACATACAAAAATGGACATTGCAAATATATTAATAATTCTAAAACCCAAATTGAAAATTGAAAACTAATTACGACAATACTTTTATACAACTATTATTACCTGGTGTATAAGGATGTTTAACTCAGGTCCTTTATATTTGGCTACTAAGCACGTAGCATCCCATTCTTCAATTGTTTTCATATCATCTCCAAAGTAAAATTTAAATACTTCTAGTATTTTAGGTGTTTGAGAAGGATTACAGACAGGAGCAAAAAGTGACACTGAACGATACTTGCCTGGATTTTTTAGTGCACTTATTAACGCACCATGACCTCCCATACTAAAAATAATATTCTGTTATAATTTTAGTTATTTAAATTGTATATAGTTATATGAAAAAAATACACAGTATTTTGATATTTATAGTACGAGATGGATTAATAATTGGTCAAATATTCTTATTAAATATTAATTTTAAAATATTAAGAAGGAAAAATTGAATATTAAAATATTGAGTTACAATTGTAACTCTATTAATTTGTTATTTTTTCCAAATTTAGTTTGAGATATTGCATATATACCTATGACCCATAATGGACTGTCGTTCTTTGTTAATATTAAAATGTTCTTGAATAATATTGGGTAACTCTTCGTTTATATATGAATACATTTGGTAATTCCTGTTCCATGGTTTTTTCACAGCATTTACGTAGAATGAGAGACCTTTAGCTTCAATTTCGTTTTTTTCAGCAGCAAAAGTAACTCCTAGAAACCCAATTACATTTTGAATACAATACTGTAGTTATAACATTGATTAAATTATTACTAGGACAGACATCTGGTGATACAACGATTATTCCGTAATGTGCTGCCCAACGTTGAAACCCTGATCTTTGTATAAAAGTTTGTTCGGAACAGGACATACCACTTAAATGGTATAAAACCGGAGCAGGTCCTTCCAAATTATCTGGTATGTACACACCAAACCGCATACGGAAATTTAATACGTTACTAAAAATAAAATAAAATGTTGAAAATGTAATAAGTTTCACTATTTATTTACAAATATCTATAATAATATTTTTTAAATAAATTATTGATTTAAAAACTGAAAGTAAAAACATTGGAAAAAACTCTGTTGCCTAAAACATTATTTTTATAAGTTAATTATTTGACTTTATAAATTGATTTTTTATAATATTCCTTATTCTGGTTATTACCAAGTCATGTTAAAAATAATAAATATAATAATATTTAAATAAAAATTACGTAATAAAAACTAAATTTTAATTCTTCATAGGTATTTACATTTATTATTATTTAAACTATATTCATTAATTATAGCATTTATATTAAATCCTTTAAATTTCGTGAAATACTTATTAATACCAAATGTCACTCTGACTTGGTCTACATTACACTTAATTTTAAGTCCAAAAAAAATCAGTAAAAATGTCAAAATATCTCAAACAAAAAAAAAAAAAAACCGGCTGTCGAATGGTATTTGACTTCATAGGGACCCAGATTATCAATTCAATGCCAACTTATTTAGCGAACTTACCATTGCCATTATTTAAGAAACATATCACACACTGGCTAATGTATGAATGTAACGTCACTAAATATGACTAAAAATATGCCACTCTGTTCACACACATATTATCATTCAAAATCTTATGTTACCTATTGCTTCCATGTATATATTTATAGTATTTATAATATTAGTATTATTTTCGTCATGAATTAATTTGTACCAATCTACCTATAACATACATTATCTGTTTTTGTTTTTACTTCTTTTGTACAATTAGATTATTAATTTCAAACACAAATTTTGTAGATGTCTGTTAATTATAATTTGTATGTAAATATGTAATGTATAGTAGATAACCTTGGGCCTCCACACGATTATGTCTCAGTGAGGCCCAGTAATCTAATAGATTTAAATTTAACTAAAAAAAAAAAAAAAAAAAAAATGCATGTTATTTACATTCTAAATATTAACATAAATAAAGTTATAATAAGTTATACTTCAATGAGTTAGCACGTGATACGTAAGTTTGAAATTCTATAAAATAAATATTTGGATTTTCTCCAATTTTATTTTTTTTTAATCACACCCTGATCCCTGTTTTTAACGTATTTTAATACCTAAACGAATCAATTATACGCCTGTATTTTTCTAAATAGTAATGTCATTGATAAATTTATACTGAAAAAAAGCCAAGAGATTTATATATATATATATATATAATTGTATAGATTTATATAAATCATTACACACATTATTAACCAGAATTACATCGCATATTAATATTACCCACTTTGGATAATATATAAAATATAGTAGATAAAATAAAAATAATAAATGTATAAATAAATAAGTTTAAGTTCGATTAATTTTGTAAAATTTTAAATTTGAAAAAATGCTACTTGCAACAATCTTTAAATATCTATTTTCAATAATTTTTTTTTTTTTTTTATTAAATCCATTAGGTAAATTACGTTCAACAAAATAAAAATAAGCGCATATATTTGGGAAAATTTTAAGATTTATAGGTATATGTTTTAAAACACTCAGCTTTATATCTGTGTGCATGCCTGCAATAATTCATTAAACAAAAAATTTCATACTAAGAATTTCTTTCAATATTCAGAGTGCAATCCTTATATATATATATATATATATATATATATATATATATAAGAACAGGCCTTTATTATGTTCTAATTTTGTAACAACACTATCTAACATTTTTCCATTTTTTTTTTCACAGAATTATTTCAAATACTATACTGAGTGTCACCACATTACCCGATTTTTCATTTTTTTTTTTTATCTGAGGGGTGCTCGAGAGGAAGATTTTATTTAAAGGTACGGTTTTTTAGTGTATCATTTAAATAATTTAACGTTTTCTTTCACAAGGATAGTCACAAAATGTGTGTTGATTTAAAAAAAATAAAGTAATAAAGTATATAATTATTAGGAAAATACAAAGTATAAACTGATTTTTAATTTGAAACCGACCACACATAACAAATACAATACTACTCGAGGCTGAACATTTATTCGTTGGAGTGTTACATGCAAGGCCGTAACTTGGGGGGTCCAGGTGTCCGAACCCCTCCCCGGAAATTTTCAAAAGTAGAAACATTTAAGCGATGAATATAGTTTATTAACTATAAATTGTATTAAATAATAATGTTAGACCCCCCTCCCTCCCGACATTTTTTTCCAGTTACGGCCTTGGTTACGTGCAAGTCAATACTGAATAATTTAAATCAAATAAAATCATGGTTATGAAATAATAATATTATTTATTGTGTATGAAATTGTATAACACTGCCAATGTTATCTGTTGAAATTTCGATTTCATAAAATAATAATGAAATATAGTAATTATAAATTCTGACACAAATTTCAGTTGTTTAATTAATTTGTAAGCTTGTAAGCTTAAAACTGCTGTTAAATGACATAAAAATGTGATAAATAATACAAATTAATAATTTTTGGTATATACGAGTAAATAGCAATAATACTATGATATTTAAAGTTTATCACAATTAAAAAAATAAAAATTTAATTACTATGTTACCCTATTTAGGTTTTGTATTAGGTAGAGTATATCCACAGTAATCTTGATTGAAATATAAATGGATGTACATCTAAAATTAATCGCATAAATACATTATTCGTAGAAAGTACTTAAAAATCTTAATTGATACTAAATGTATACTGAAATATTTACAAAGCAATTCAGAATAGAACACAGATAATTACATCATGAAAAAGTAATGAAATGCTAATATACAATAGGTGTATGGAGTAGTGTATATATAATATATACTTTCTAAATTTAGCATCTGCTGAATCTAATCGCTATCGGTAAACATTTTTACACATAACCATACATGATATAACGCTTAGCTATGAATTGTATTAGACATTCACTTTCAGTATACCATCAAACTATATAATACTTTGAATTACATATTTATTACCGTGTTAACGTAAATAATGAACATCGCATTTATTTTGCATTTTTATTTTAGTATAACTTATACTTTTAAATATCGAATTTTTAAAACTATGATTGAAAATATATTGAAAAAAAAAATCTTAATAAATCAGAAATCAACAATAGACCTTTTGATCATCTCGAGGCTAATCAGTGTTCTAGTATTCATTTTTAATTATTTATTATTTAAAACCGAATTCAATGACAATTGTACGTATTAATTTAAAAAAAAAAAAAAAAAAAACGATTCCATTCATAAAACGTAAAGGTTTTAAAACCGGTAAAAAATATATATATATATATATAAGTATACACAACTCTAAAAGAAACGTCAACAAATAACATTTTCAAATGTAACGTTAAAATTGCTTTAAGAAGATATTAAGGAAAAATTAATTAATTTCTTTTTTTTATAAAAATTATCATAGAATTTCAAGTTTTAAATTTTAACTCTCAACATCACAACCAATATTTGCCAGATATTATTCTCCCAATCTGTTACTGCCATTATCGCCACTACCTCGTTATTTTTTAACTATGGACTACTTAAATAACCATATATAACATGTCCACATAACTGTCGAGATTAATTGTATACTAACAAAATGTCAATAAAAAAAAAAAATAACTATGAATCATAAATATGATAAGACTAAAATTATTTGATGTTTAAAATTTTTTGATGTTGCAATAAACTTATTAATATTAAAAATAAAAAAAGCAACATGCAACCTCAATATCGATAAGTCCTTGAAAAATAAGACTTAATTAGGACTAACTACTGTATGAAAAAAAAAAATTTAAATATGAATTTGAATACTACATAGAAAAATACTTCTTCATAATATAATTAATCTTAAATTAAAAATGAATTAACAATAACAAGAACAAAAAAATTATGAAAATATATTCAGATAGGAAGCCAGTAAAAATAATTATATTTAATATTATAATTTACTAATATAAGGGGAGAACACAATAACTATGTATATCAAAGCAATTTAACATCGATAAGTGCTATACAATATAATATGTGAATCATAGAAATATATTATTTAAAGAACACTAATAGTTAGAATTATTAGAATTTTAAATATTAAGTATAAATATAAATTATAGTTTTCTGCACATCCACCAGATCTTTCTATTGGTAAACAATTATTTTTGGTAAAAAATATAATGAATAAAACGTTCAAATTGAAAACGGAGATTTCTAATTGCCAATTAGTATTTACTTATCTATTGATAATTAAGTATGTAATATCAATGATCAGTGTTGAGACTTATCTAGATAAAAATTTAATTATCTATTATTTTATAATGATAGAAATATAAAAATTATCTATTTATCTATCTTAGAAGAACACTTTGGTCGTGTAGATATTTTTTTATGTATATTTAACTGATATTTTATGTGCTTCGGAGACTTGGAGATTTCGATTGCGTAACGCCTGGGTAGTTGCAAAAATTAATATGATTGAAAAGGACCAGTACGTTTTCCTTAATTTCAACGAACGTTTATATCCTAATGAATATTGACAAAATGTAGCTATTATTTAGCGCAGATACACATATTACATATTTGTGGGCTTCAAGAATAATCGTGTATAATAATGACGGTTATAGCTTTTTGAGTAATGAATAATAATTAACAATAAATTATTGTTTAAATAACTGTCAATAATCGTCGTCGATATCTACTGTTTCTTGGTGTAAACTAATGAATCCTTCTAGAAAACAAAGTCTTCGATCCACGCAAAGCAGTTTTCTTTTCGTCAGTTGTTAATATATTTAAAAATATCGTGAGGCTTTATTAGAGTCAAATGGGTAAACCTATTGCCCACCCACCACCAATTACCGTTTGGCAATGTTTTTTCAGTACAGTTGGTCTTACCACGGAGAACTTCAACGCTTAAATAAGATTCCGAAATAAGTATATATTATTAAATGTATATCTACATTTATTATTTTGAACACATAAAACACTTTAAAATTGAAACATATTTCAAATGCCTGATATTTTTTTTTTGTTTTTTTTTTATTGACAATTTCAGACCTGAACTTACAATATCTGAAAAAAAAAACGTAACTTTTTTTTTAAACTCCTAATACATTTACTAAAACACCTTTATTTTTTTTCACATCGTTTTAGCTGAGATTTAAGTATATACACTATAGTGGACATTGGGACTCAATGGATATATTATACTAAAAATACTTTCAACAGAATTTAACTACAACTAACTTGAAAATATTTTATATATAATATAAATATTTATTATCTTCAACAATGAATATGTTATCATCGAATTAAACGAGCATAGCCTCGAGCTGTTCGTGCTGAAAATTATCATAATTATGTTCGTATTCGCCTCCGTCATCAGAAAGATGAACATCTGAAACTGTACCATCATCTAAGAAATTTAAAATATATCTTCTTCACGAAGATGATGTGACGTATTTTTTTTTTTACGAAAATTCAACAAAAAACGTATAATCACAGTTATTTATGGATCATAGTATACTTGTCGTTATACACTTTATCAACAATAAAATAAAACTATGTATGTATTATTAAATTATACGACAGTTATTATTAGTAAAAACCAATTCAATGATTTTGATGATGAATTCCAACTATAAATGCCAAGAAATACCTAACAATTAACCATGCTTACATTCCATACGAGGTGCATGCATGGCTCAAGATCATGACGTCTAGCCCCAATGTACACAATATAATCTTGTGTATAACGTTAGAACTAATAAATGTATATAAATAATTGTGATGTCACTATTTTCCCCGTGAGAATATCCTTCCTCTACATATTTTTTGATATGGTGCCATCTAGTGTTGATTTTATACAAAAAAAAAAGATAACAGCGAAACTCAATTTTCTTATCAATCGAAAATATTTTCACAGAAAGTGAAATTTTTAGTTGAAGACTAAGTTTAGAGTTTAGTTAATATTTTTTTCGTATTATACAGATGTTAGAAACATAATTACCATTTAAACTAATATTGATAGCAAAATATATAATTATAAGCACCTTGTACACTGTAGTCTGAAAGGTTCTACACATTTTTTTTTTTTTTTGTAAAATCGTTGTTTTTGTTTTTAAAAAATTTTATCTGCTTTTTAAATAGATGAATTACGGTTATCTTTTATATTTCATAAAGATTGATACAGTTGAACTCATTATTAATCTTTATCTAAATAAACATCAATCTTAATCTTTATCTAGATAAAAAAATATTTATCAGGGGTCAGCACTAATATAATAGGTACGCGCGTTATCACGGATTGACGGTGATAATACGGCACGCGCACGAGAACAAAATGATTTTGTTAATTAGTTATTAATCGTTAAAAATCGAATCAGATCCTCGGTGGTGTGCGACGACAAAAGTGCGTGAATCGCGTGCAGACATTGTGTTATCATCGAAATGATAAAAATAATAAAAAATAAATAAAATAGAAATTAGCGCACGGCGGGGTGAGCGTTACGGAATCGATGGGTGTTGCGTAAAAAAAAAAAATCCCGGAAACGGTAGGCGATTACCTATCGCCATGGTGTTACGGAACACGAACGGTATTTACAGATTTACGTGAATTGTAGACCGTTCGGGCCGGGATGCAAAACTGCAGCAATGGTCCGTGGGTCGACGGACGATGTTCGTAGCACCAGCGGGTCGCGGGTCGGGCACAACGTCGTTCCACGATTATAACAATATTATTACGATAAATACGGCGGAGGACTTGTAACATTTGCATATTCGTTTTGCGCGGTCACAGAAATGGCAGTGTACGAAACAAATGTTTCGTGCTTTGAAAAGACTAGTATTGAAATTTTATTTCTCGTATAAATGTACCATATTTCGAGTTTTTTTTTTTCTTTTTCTGCGACATATTTGATTTGAATCAATTTTTTCCGCGCCACCGTTTCTGTTCCAAACAACAGACGAAAAATGTTTGTAAAAAAAAAAAAACGTATTCGTTTTTTAATTTTTCTCGTACAACGTGGTTGACGACTGTTCGGGGCACACGTTTTTCCTAGAAGTGCTTGCGGATCGCCGATAAGACAACGATATCAATTAGCTGCATTTAATTTTATTAGTAGATGGGTAACCGTCCACGATACCACATCGTCGCCGCAGTAAGCCGAATGCGTTCGATTAAGAAAATTAAGAAAAATATTTTCCACCGGCAACGGTAGGTACAAAGTATATATTGACATTAGGTAATTGCTTTAACGTATTTTAAACGCTATTAATTTTATGAACACTTCGAAATCAAACCGCTGGAAAGAAACGTTAAGCGCATGTTTTTAGGTTTTTAAATGCTCATAAGTGCTCGCATATTTTTTTGATTTTTTTTTTTTTACAGCTACAAGTCCTCTGCCCCCAATGATAAATACGAAACACGTGTCGTTCACACCGCTCACCTGTCGTGCTCGTAGACCTTCTGTCGGCCGGCGAAACACCGGCAGTCCAAAACCGTGTCCAACTGCTGCTTCATGTTGCGGTGTCCGATACTCGCGTGGTGACGGCGTGAACGCGAGACCGACTAAGTGTGCCGCGCCGCAGCAACTGAACTGCGGACGACGGGCGGCCGAAGCGGCGACCGGAAAACCACGGCGGAGGCGGCGGCGGCGGCGCAGTAAGTCACACAGAAACGATGATGACGTCGCATCGACAATGGTTATAAAGGTAACTACAGTCGGATTACCACCCGGCTTTGCCCGCGTGTATTCATTTTTTTCTTCGTGCCTACAATATTACGGGTAACATTGTTGAGCGCAAAATAGTTTTTTACGCTCAGTCAATATATTAAGGGGTTTTTTTTTTTTTTTAAACACCCTTTGTATACGATATTTTTACGTACAGTTACGGTCGATTCCAAAGAAACCGTCATTCCTTAAATCAACCATCACCACTTTCAAAAACTGCCCTTGCACTTCATTAATTTTCATGGAAAACGGACCTTGACGGAAAACCAAAGCCGTTTGAATTAAAAACAATGGTCAACGTGGAATCAAATATATTTTTGGTAGAAAATTCATTTCTAACTCCTCAGAGCTGTATTTTAAGAATCTGTCGCCCGGTGACAACAAGATGTGATTATTTCCTGTATTATGTGAAAATATACCCAAAAAAAAGTTCCATAATATTAAAATATTAAAAAATAATAAATTAAAAAAAATTAATAAAAAAATATTAAAAATATAAATATTAAAATTAGCGAAATAGCAATAAAACCCGTAAATATGCAAATAAAAAATAGCAAAATTAACATTTGTGCATGATATCCGAGTAGTTTGAAACATATTTGTATTTTACTTTGGATGTTCAAGGATGGACCAAGAAAAATATGCATTTGCTAGAACTTCCGAGCCCTGGTTCTGAACAATACTGCATGTCCACACGAATCGAGTTGGTTTTCCTCCATCAAATTAATATAAATGTAAGAATAATATTATAATTAAATGCGCAAGTATCTATTCCACATCATATCTATCTTATCGCCCGGCGTAATGTAAGAAAACCGCTGTGGTTAATCTTATTTGATTATTTGAAAATAAAACAGAATCTGAACATATAATATTAAATTCGTTAACTCAATAGCGGTGGGTTGCGATAACGAAAAAAAAGCGCGCCAAAGCAGTCCAAAACAGTGCAGTGGTGGGGCGGTGTGTACGTTTTATCATGTTCTAATCATGAACTAATTTTAATGTGGTACCACGGCACCGCCGCTGCGCTACAACGCTACCGCGCTGCTATGGTGTGTGCACCGGGCCTAACACCAAATCTGACAACGCCGCACGAAAAATGGCAAGCAAAAACGTTCGCAATCGTGCCATTCGCAGTCATATATTACTCCTATCCTTCGGCCTGAATATCCCATCCACATACAAATCAAGATTAAACCAACACCTATATCTAAATAAAATACCATGTAAAATGAAAATGTACTCTTAAACAGACAAACATTTTATACGTTACTGAATAACTAATAATTTTTCAATAATAGATTTATTTTTCATATAATTTTGTTTATTTATCGTTTATAAATAACTTTCAATTGAGGATGCGAAAAAATCGACTTGTTTTTATTTAGAATCACCGTTAAAAATTTTGCCGCCCCCTTAAATATTTTAGAAGGGCTATTTGCTCCCCTAACCATCCTCTCAAATACGACCCTTTTCCCCGTAATACAGCCCGTAAGAATAGTTGTTATAATACGAATACTCAATATGGTGTTACGGATATATAAACTAACTAGATAGCCGACTCTGTTTTATCAATGATGTCTGTTCACTATTTGCTAAATGTGCTACCAATATTAACAATAATAGATGAAATTCCTATTAGATTTGTTAAAATTATGACATTGCAAAAAATAAAAATGTACAAATATCCTTAATTTCTTTTATTAAACAAATATAAAAGTAGTTTCAATAACAGTACTTATTTACATAAGATTGTGTAACACAAAACTGTATAGTTTACATTTTTAAGATTAAATATGTCAAGCTTTTTATTTATTTTTAGTAATTTTAGAAACAAAACTCTGTATTCAAGGTATGCAACTGCATACAGGGTATGTACTCCTTGTACACTTCTACGATACTAATGTCCAATATTCAATTTACTTTGAAGATGAACTTAACCTGGTTAACAATAATTATCAATTTATCATATTTTTTATCGCAGCATTTGAGTATTTGCTTTTACTTTTGGCGTATGATGACCAGTCTTCATATATTTTGTTCATTACTTACAATAATCGGGTACCTTGTTAGTTTATATATCTGTGGTATGGTCATCGTTTCCACCAAAAAAGTGAAAATCGATTTAATCTGTATCATGATACATTTTTAAAAACAAAACAAAATATAAATTCAAATTAACAATTGTAACTGTGAATGCAAAAAATTATAAGATGAAATTTATAAAAACCGATTGAGTAATACAACAAACACAGTAGACGAACACAAACTTAAAACAATTTCAAAAATGACATTTTTAAAAAAAAGTATGCAATAATTAATCTATATGATTGTCGGGAATATTTGTCTATGTTTATATATAGTGATAGCTCCTGAACAATTCTAAATGGTTCTCAAACTCTAATTTAGACCAATAGAAAGAAATAAATTAGGCGGAAACGAAAATCAATTTTTTAGGCAGAAACAACTGACGCCTATCTGTGTGGTATGGGTAAAATAATTTTTATGGAATTAATTTCGCGGAAAAATTAATATTTACAAACGTCGACTGATAAAAAGTATGGTAGGAAACGCACAACAATACGTGTCGACGGTGAATTATTGTTGTTAATTAATCTACCTATGCGTGATATTTTTTATTTGAAATCCTTTCTAATTGCATGTTTAGTGTTGGACGAACCAATATTCCAAATGTTTCTAAGTTCATGCGTTCAGCAGTTTTTGAGAAATAACGATCAGTGAGTCGGTAGTATTTTTTTCACGCCGTCGCTGAAAACTATTCACCGACTAGCAACGACGGTCAATGGAAAAAGGGCACGATCGAAAAACCGAACGATGGCTACTGACCGGCGGCAACGATCCGTCGGCCCCCTAAAAATATTTTTACTGACGTACGCAATGATTATGTCATGCAAAACGACTACGTGCCGACGTGTCGTAGTAGTGCCCTTGACCCGGAACGTTGGCCCTTTCACCCTCCACACATTACGCGAACTTCTATAAAGTTTTACCGGGTCGCATACTTGTGTTCTATACGATTGCACATGACCTATTGCACTATTTATCGTGTTCGTCTATGTACGTACGATCAGCTGGTCGGTCCGAAGACTTAAACTGCCGATGCCGATCTTGAAATGGCCAAACGATGTAAATTCTGCGTTTGAAAAACATAATAGATTGCTGTTCATTGGGTCTCCTCGATGGACACAACTACGTCGCACGTAGAACGAAATATGAATTCTTATTTTGGTATTTTGTTTTTTTCATCGACGGAAATAAAATTACAATGCATACGTGTGACGGTGCAGTATGTCTAACAACATGTTACGTGTATTACAATGCGCAGATAATAATTAAAAATGCATTTACGGTACGGTTTACGACGTTAGTTTATAATGTCTTCGGGAAGCCTAATGTCTGCATGATTTAACTGATTATATTACAACAATATTACACGTATAGACAACAGATATATGTGCTTACGTATTAACACCTACTTATATTGATAGAACAATCCACGCTAATATTTACATAAGTACGTATTTATTGGGATCATTTTGGACGTAATTAAACGCACTGGTATTACATATTCTTGGTTCTTACCACTGTCTATGAATATTTTCATAGCATGACGACGGCACAGTAAAATTTGTTCTTACCCCAACAGTATACCTATCCATGGATCGATAAGTTATGACGTAATACTCGTATTTTTCCTTTTCTGTACTGTGTATATTTATAAAATCGAAACTCGTAAATATTGTAAATAATTAATTGTTCATTTTCATTCACTTTTTATTTAGAAGATTAATGTGTTAATTTTTAACGAAATAATAGCACTGACATTTTTTTCTCTGATTTTGATGATTGGATGATTATCATTATACCAAATTCTAATCTATCTTCAAATGTTGTTTTTACAATTTTATTTAAATTAATTAGCCTATTTTATTTTCTATAAGACAATTTAAATATAAATTATATATAAGTCTATATATAAATATAAATAAATATAAGTCAATCATAAGACCAGTCTGGTCTTATGGAATAGCAATCTGGGGTCCAGCAAAGCCCTTGAACATCAGGCCAATTCAGGCTTTTCAATCAATTACGCTAAGGTTAGTAACCAAATCCCCCGGGTATGATTCAAACTTTATCTTGCACAACGACTTAAAAATAATAACTACTATTGAACTAGACAAAACAATGTATAAACGTTTCCACCAAAATTTAAACGCGCATAGCAATACATTAATATCAAAACATGTCTTCCCTTACCCTCAAAAAAAACCCACCACGCTGACTAAAACGTAAATGGTGTAAAGACCTATTAAATTAGTAAAAGAGGTATTACCATTGGGTTTCTTCCTCAACACGGTATTCATATTACTTTGTTCTTTTTATTTTATCAAATTTGCTTATTGAAATTATTGTGTACAGATTGTAAATTGTCTTTCTTAATAAAAAAAATAAATAAATAAAAAATATTAGTTAAATACTGAATTTATTAAATTTGAGTCTCTTTTATGTCCTTGATCTTGAAATTTCCATTTTAATGCTGAAATAACCTAAGAAAATATTAATGGACGTGGTCCAAGAAGACCAAAGAACTACTAGTAGTTGAGTATTGGAGAGTGGCAGTCCGAGATAGAGACAAATGATGACTGCTATAATATTATGTATAAATAGCAAATATAGTGGTAAGTAGTACTATGTGTACTTAAAATTTAAAATTTAAATAAAAATGTAATTTTAGTACAACTATTTTTAAGTACTTGTTCAGTGATACAAATTTGCATAACCATTTATTGACAAATCTAAAATTACCATTTTACACATTGCTATCGTATAATTTACACAAACCTACAAGTAAAAATGTGT